TTTCAGTCAGTCCGCAAATCTCTATGATATTTCCCCTTATGGCCAAGATATGCAATACAATAGTATGGTGCTCTCAACCCTTACTTTATACTGAGGCGACACCAACATCTGTACGAAATGTTTTTTGCGGGGTCGCCGGGTTCTTGGGTGATCTCGGCTCAGTGGCAGCACCGTACCTTAAAAGACTGGTTGGCCATTTCTTTAAAATTCTTCTTTGAAATGGCAACTATTCTAATTTGTTAGGAGGCTATACACAAATCAGCGCCTGCCTTGGCAATAGTGGTAATGTCGCTGATATCGGCTGGGATTGTTCTTATTATGCCGGAAACAAAAGACAAGAAATTGCCTGAAGATCTGGACGACTTTGATCCAGGACCATTGTTGCGTTGGATGAAGAAAAAAAAGGACGAAAAAGTGGAAGAGGTGCAAAATTCAATTGAATTCATAATTTTAATTGATATTAATCTTAATGTTGAGGGGTCGCCCATGTTGGGAACAGAGCCATCCAAACCAGCGTTTAGTGAAGAAAAGACAGCTGAGTTCGAAGCTTAACCGGGATCTCTTCTGTAGAACATTTTGTAATCTGCAGTAAACACGCACAAGTTGTAATGAATAGTCAACCATGTTGTAAGGTGAATTGCCTGCTAATATTACTGCATCAACAGAGTTGTAAAAGTGAAAAGGGTTCTTAAGTGCTCTGCTTATAAATTTTTAACAGATCATTGACGTATAAATGCAGTGTGAAAAGTCAACCACTACCCTATATGTTGAACTACAGGCAACAAACGCTAAAAAACAAGCATACAGCTAGATTTTAGAAAATTTAGTATTTGCATAAGACGAAGTGAGATAATTTTACAAATGTGCAGAGCTTAGGTTTGTCTCAGTAACTGCCTATACTAATCAGCAGTATTCCTGCGACATACTTAGATATTAAACCTTGCAAATTCTGCCCTTTTTTGTTCCCAAACTCCACACAAAATTTTGATCTAACAGATTCAACGTTCATTGAAATACTCAAAGCACATTCTTACATTAAACTTTACCTGTTTGTTCATTTGCATTTTT